TGCAAAGAGATTCAAGAATAGAGCAAGAGAAATAAATATTTAAATTTCGGCATTATTATTCTGTGTTGTTTGTCCCCCACAACGTCCGGATACACACACGCACACGACATCCTTGCGGACGTGTTTTTTCTTCTACGTACCAAATTATTGAAAATAGATTGACGATGTCACTTTTTTTTTTTTGTTAACGGTAAAATTTTATATATGTACAAAATAAAAAGTTTAAATAACCATCCTTAGTCTCAAAATTACATGAAAATTCAATACCTAAAACAAGATAAAAAAAACTCACTTAAAGAGTTTCGAAGTGATGAAACAAGAAAGACCTTAGTTTCCTTCGAATAGACAATAGCTTCCTCCTGGTCATGATGAGGAGGTCTTTAAGTAGGATCCAACCGACCATTGCATTTAGAATGCTCCGAACACTTGATTTGTCACGAACTTTAGTCTCAATAAGACCATTTGGATAGTAAGGATTAATAAAATTTGCCTTGTCCCTTTCGAGCCCTACTGACTAAGGTAAAGTCGGTTGGATCTCGATCGAAGAGTTTGGACAATATATTGACTCCACATAGTCTAATGCATTACAAATTTTACTGATTATCTCTGTTTATGTTTTATACATATATATTGGTGAAATTGCATGTCACGTCTCTTTCATATGAAGGTGTTATAGAGAGTGTAGATATATATCAGAAAATACATTTGCATTATGGAGTTCTTGGAAAAATCTCTGTGTCAAATGACGCACTCAACACAATCCCTTGTTTGAACAATTTAAGATAACTATCCAGCAACAAGAAAATAACCCAAATTTAGGTATTTCAACCGGTAAAATGAGGACGAATAGTGTCTATTTTATCGCGAGTTCAGACTTTAAATTTGGAGAAAAACATTCATATAAATTTATCCGACTATGAGATTAATATAGATTCTGACTCACGATAAATAAAAAAAAAGACAGAAAAAAACAATGATCAGTAGGAGAAAGGACAAAAAGAAATAGCTTTACTTCCATAATGGCCGTTAAAAATTTAGAAAATGAATGATAATGTGGTGCACATGAGATGATTAATTTTTTATCGACCCATTTCATTATACTACTTTTATATCTCACTTCTCTCTAGGACCCTTTATTTTTAAAAAATATATATTTAAATTAGCTTTGTAACTCAATCTTGTTGTGTTCATTGATGATTAGCAATGATGGTTCTTCCAAAGTGAAGAACACACTTGTCATACTTCGGTTCTGATATGGTTTTTAATCTCACTCATATCAACCCCACTTTGTGCAAACCCTAGGGGTCTCTTTGAATCATGCTATTCTTTTAAATTATCTTAATTAGAGAGCTTAATTGAAGCAAACTCCTTTCTAAAGTATTTACTGATTTAATTTATATTTTTAAAATTATACAAAATATTCGTAACAAATTTTTGAAATAAATGAATTTTTTGGTGAAAATTATACCATACAATCAAGAAGGTTATTTTTCCACCATTGAAAAAAATATATCATACAATCAATAAGGTGGCTTTTCAACTGTCAGTGGATCCTACTTTGACAATTAATTTATCATTTAATTGTACATAAATTTGTTTATCCGATCATTAAAGTGATAGTTAAGTAAGGAAACATAAACATTGTCGTGAAAAAGATTTTTTTGGCCTATTAAGTTAAAAGGGAGATGTATTTGCCCAACTCCAAGTGCTACCGACAAGATATGGTTCCATGTGTCGCATCCACAGTATCAGTACCTAACTATTCTCACATTTAATTTAATGGTTATAATTTTTTTTCTATCTCCCTTCTTTAATTTTTTTCTATAATTAGTTTCTTGACCTATACGTATATACATACCTTTACATATTCATATACTTAGCCTATCGCCCTTCGGGGCTAGGTCAGATAGTTGGGAGCAGGGGGCAACTCCTTGAGGTGGGGGATCGAACTTTGCCGTCTCCCTTTCCCTGACCTTCCCTTCCTCTGACCTGCTCGTCTGTCAGCCTATCATCATGGACTGATTTACCTCCTACCGTGTGTTGCAGGCTCATGCGTGTGGGCGTGGAATTTGACCTGCAGGCGTCTAAGCCCAACTACGGCCCGAGCGTTAGGCGCGTCTGGTGGCCAGGTCCAGTAGGATCGTTAGGCGCGGGTGGTGGCCAATTCATCTCCGTTTGTAAGGGTAGGTAGTCACAGAGGTTACCCATAGTTAACAAAAAAAAAAAGTTGATCGTTTAAAGATAAAGAATTGGTCCATGGGTAAGCATTCACATTAAAATTTGAAATCTTAGAAATATAACCACTTATGAGTTTGTGGAGAAGAATTAAAAATACAGAGAGTTTACGTAATATTTTTTTTTTTATTTTCTGTTTGGTGTATTTTTTTAATTGTATTGAGAATATTTTATGATATTAAAAAATTTGTTAAAAAGAAACTATATTATACATTAAATTTATTTTATTATCATTAATAAAGATATTGGTGATAAATATGGAAAATGAAATAACGGATCCAATGCTATAATTTATGATGGACGGATGCGTAATTCCAACCCGAAGGAGAATTATGGTGCTACAATTAGGGGTAGCTTAATCGGAATTCGGTTCGTTTATATTCGGGTTCGATTGTTTCGGTTTTAAAAAATATAATCGTTCGATTTTTACATTGCATTCAGTTCAGTTCGGTTCGATTATGATAAAAATACTCATTTTCTTATAGATATTTACGGTTTTTCCAGTTTTTTTTTTATTCGGTTCGATTCGGATTTAGGTTCGGTTTTTTAGAAAAATCATAAAATTTAGTTTTGTATCTAATTCGATTCAGTTATGATTATGCGTTATTCAATTCGAATCGATTCGATTATTCAACTATTAACCAAATAAGTAGCCACCCCTTGCTACAATGGCGTACGTTATCTTCTTAACAAAGGAGTCAGGGCAACAAAATGAGAGTATAAATTAATATTTTCAAAGAATACAAAATAAAAATAGAACAAAGATCATAAAAAGGGCAAGACGAAAGTAAAGGGGGAACAATTAAGGGGAAAAAAGGAGGGCCGGACACAACGACAATTTTTTTGTGATAAAGTTTTTTTTTTTTACAAAAATGTCGTTCTTTAAGAAATAAAATAGTGGAAATTTGCACCGGTGTCCAAAAACGTCACGTCATTAGAAATCAATACATTTTTTTTCCTTTCTTTGCAAACTATATCTTTTTATAAATTTTTGACAAAAATACCATTACTTTATTGTATAATTTCAATATTGCCATTAAACATTTCAAAAAAATTATAGCATAAAAAATATATATTTTATTCAGAAACTGTTATCTCGGAAAACTGTTTTTTTCATCCGGAATAATTTCCATCTGTGAGAATCTGTTTTTATTTGGTTTAACTGTTTTTCTATACGAAAAAATAATTTTTTTTATCAAGAAGAACTGTTTCTCGTTTGAAAAAAATATTGTTTCATTCGGGAAAGACTTTTTTTTATCCGAAAGAAATGTTTTTTATCCGAAAAAATCTATTTTCGTCCGGGAGAATATTTTTTTTTGAGAGAATTGTTTTCATCGAGAAAAAAATATTTTTTTATATGAAAAACAATTTTTTTTATACGTGAGAACTATTTTTCATTCGGACAAAAAACGTACACTCCCGAACGAAAAACAACTCCCTCGAAAAAACAGTTCGTCCGAAAAAAAAACAAACTTTTCCGAACGAAAAACAGATTTTTTCGGACAAAAAACAATCCTCCCGGACAAAAAAAAGATTCTTCCGGATAAAAACAAACTCTCTCGAACAAAAACAATTATCCTGGACAAAAAAAAATTCTTCCGGACAAAAAATAGACTCTCCCGGACGAAAAACAGTTCTCACGGACAAAAAATAGACTCTCCGAGACGAAAAACAGTTCTCCCGGACATAAAACAGACTCTCACGGATGGAAAACAGTTCTCCCGGATAAAAAACAATTCTTCCGGATAAAAACAGTCTCTCCCGGATGAAAAACAACGCTCCCGGATTACACAGTTTCCAAAAAAATCTGTTTTTTATATTACACATTTTTTCGAGACGCTAAATGGCAATATTGAAATTATACAATAAAGTAAAGATAGTTTTGTCAAAAATTTATAAAAAGATATAGTTTGCAAAGGTCATAACTATTTTGTTATTTTTTGTAAAATACCACATCTTTTTGTAACCAAGAACCCCAATAAAATAAAGACAAAGAAATTGGTGATGAAAAAAAAAAAAGAAATTGATGACTTGTCGTAACTCTTGTGGTTGTCCATTATTAAAAATGAAGGCTTTTGATAATGTGTGGGGGTGGAAGTAGACGTTTCCTCGTTCAACAGCTATCTCTCCATCTTCTGCTGACCCACTTCTTTTTTTGTTCCTTTATATATATATAAATATATAATTTGATAAATACACATAATAATATCATCATTATTATATAATGAATCTTATATAAGCTCTCTTTGATGAAATGTGAATGACTCATAAGTTATGCATAGAGAAAGATATTATATGCAATTCCATATATCAAAACGTGCCTACATCGAATGATAATAAATACGATCTTATCTTTCCATAGTTTTCCTTAAACACACACATATATATATATATATATATATATATATATATATTTAGAAACAAAATATGTAAGGAAGCTTCTACAAATTAATATTACATGTAAACATTGGCATACATATTTAACATGGGTGAACTTGAGTTCACATCCCATTGAAAAGTGTATTTTAGGGTTTAGGGTTGAATTGTTTGTATGGAAATGGAATTTTAATTAGTCTTATTTTATTTTATCCGTTTCGGTTAGGTTTTTTTTGGCTGCCTATATGCATGCGAGCCCCATGACTTCCGCATGAAGTAGCTGAACTCTCTCTTCTCTCTAACTTTCCCAAAACTTTTCAACCACCAAATCCCTAACCCAAATCGGAAATTCTCCACACCCAACCACCGGCCGGCTCACTGCCGGCCGGAATCAAAGCCCCGGTCAGCCCACTACTGGTCAGGAGATACCAAAAAGCCTTCCCTCTTCTCGTCTTCTCATGGCTCCTCGGTTGAGGTCTTCATTAGCCCCGCCCTCTCCGAGTATCCTCGGAGCTCCGCCGCAGAATCACCGGCGGCGTTCGTCCACCCCACCCCCTCCTCTCTCTGTTAACCCTTCCCCTCTACAACAAGCTGAGATTAGCTTAGCTGGAAGCTTGAAGAAGCAGCAGAAGGATGCACAGGTCACGCTCTCTGGAACGTCCCAGAGTCAGACCAAGCAGGTACCCCCTTCTTCCCCTACCTGTCTTAAAGGGACCCAGCTTGCGATACAAAACGAAGTGCAGGAACCCACCGCAACCGTGCCAAAGGCCTTGACGGAGGCAAAGGGACCTGAGGATAGTGGGAAGCAGTATCCTGGTGAGAATCTGTGAACTTCGACCTGGAGCAAGCGACTCTTTCCGGACAAACGTTTTCTGAAACGCTTGGGAACCCCGAGCTTACACGTCTCAGGTATTCCAATGATCACAATACCAGAGGAATCCATCGAGCAAGCAGCAGAGGAATGGAAATATTTCTTAATCGGTCAGTTTTACGGACTGCCGCCCCCGATGGGCCGAGTCATTGGCGTCGCCAATGCTCTATGGTCTAGAGGGGGAAGCCGGATTATAGTACAAGATATAGGCAATGGGACATTCTTATTCAAAGTCCCGGCGGAAAGCACCAGACAATTCATTCTCACTCGCAAATTCTGGCATATTGGCCAGTGTCCGATGTTTGTCAACAGCTGGAACCCCTATCATAACCCTGACAAGCCACCAATGGATTCGATCTCAACTTGGGTCACATTTCGGAACGTCCCCCCGAAATTGTACAACTCTGATAGCATAAGTCGTATTGCAACTGGCATCGGAAATCCCTTATACCTTGATCGTTCTACGGCAGAGAAGGAGAACTTGACTCTAGCTAGAGTCTATGTTGATGTGCAGCTGAGATATCCTTTGCCGAACCAACTAGCGATAAATCTTCCTGATGGAAGTGAACATCGGGTAAGTGTCGTCTACGACTGGCGCCACCTCAGTGCAGCTCATGCGGAGAGGTTGGACATAATGTTAAACATTGCCCGAAGAATAAGCAACCACCAACTCAAATCATGAGACCTAAAACTCCTGCCAAGGGGCCAAACAGATTTGCCTCAGATTCAAATACAACACTATCGGCTATAGCTCAGACACAAGCCAAGCACCTACCAGATATACCCTCGTCCAGTAAGTCTGTGAATCAGAAGGAAGAGCCCTTAATAACCTCAGGACAAGTACTGCTCTCTGATGGAATGACAAGTTCAGGTGGAAAACCTGCCCTGGCTAGCACCAAACAAGACTTACAGGAGGCAGGGGCACATAATGAAGTTCGAGGAAGTGTCAAGGATCATGCCGTTGAGCAACAGCCAGTTAGTGAAACTGAGCAAAGTGAGGGGAATAAAGGTTTTGACAGTCCAGAAACTGCAGTGAAAAAACGAGCAGAAATGCAAACATCGCCTACTGTACTTTCAACAGGGAAAGGAAAAGGAAAGACCAAGCGGCATGGCCGAAAGGCCATGAGACATCACTAAATAAAGATTCGGAACCCATGTTTTTTGCGTGGAACATAAGGGGCCTGAATGGCCGACATAAACAGAATCTTGTAAGGAAATGGATTTTGGAGAGCAAGCAAAAAATCGGAGGCTTGCTTGAGACCCACATTCAGGAGGTAAATAGGAGCAGAATAGAGACTGCAATTCCACCTGATTGGAGGGCTTTTTGTTATTACAATGATGACAACTCGGGGAGGATATGGCTAGTATGGGACCCGGCTCTAATGGTGACAGTCTACAACACCACTAAGCAGACTATAACTTTCGGAGTTGTTTTCCCAGAGCACAACATTTTATTCACGGCAACACTAGTATATGCGTCAAACCAAATGCAAGAGAGAAGACAACTTTGGGCTGAGATGATTAAGTTGACTGATTATCAACCTTTGAGGTCATCGCCTTGGATTACCCTAGGTGATTTTAATCAGATCCTACATCCGATGGAAAGATCTGATTACCCAAGTACTATGGCTACGGGGCAGGGTATGGAGGACTTCGAGGCATGCGTTAACAACTCAGGCGTGTTCGATATACCCTACAGAGGTTTCTACTTCACATGGTGCAATAAAAATAATACAGAGCCATTAGCAGTAAAACTAGATCGGGCACTGTGTAATGAACCCTGGCAAGAGTGTTTCCCTGGTGCTTTTGTTGAATTCGCGGCGCCAGGACCTTCGGATCACTCCCCGGTACTCTTACATATGCAATCGACAACAACAAAGGTAAAAAGGTCATTTAAATACTTCCATCATATTAGCCTTCACTCTGACTTTTTGCAGGCTATCCGGGACAAGTGGGAGATTTCGACTTGGGAGGGTTCGATGCAGTTCAGACTTTGCAAAGCCCTCAAAGCTTTGAAAAGGCCTCTGAGGCATCTGAATGGACAGAATTTCAGTGGTATATCAAAGAGGGTACAACATATTACTCAGAAACTGAAACTAGCGCAACAGAAATTATTCTCAGATCCTACTCCTGTGCATGTAGTCGAAGAACAGGAACTCAGGACACAATGGGTCATGCTTGTGGCGGCAGAAGAGGCTTTTTACAGGCAGAAATCAAGAGTGAATTGGTTAGCAATGGGAGACAAGAACACGAGGTACTTCCATAAAGTGGTGAATGGCAGAACTCTGAGGAATCATATTTATTTCTTAGAAGACGAGGCGGGTAACAGATTACAATCCACCGATGAGATCAAGCAACACGCAGTAGAATACTTCACCAATCTCATTGGTATGCGTGATATCTCCACTGAGTCGCCTTCCATCGAATCTCTCAGGAAGCTCATCACTTTTGACTGTCCAGAGGATATTGTAGCCAAACTAAACGCGGTGCCGACTGGGGAAGAAATCAAACAATGTCTATTTGGAATGGCAAATAACAAAGCTCCGGGACCAGATGGTTTCCCAAAAGAGTTCTTCGTCTCGACTTGGGAAACCACGGGAAACTCAGTCATAGAAGCTGTACAAGAGTTCTTTCAAACCGGAAAGCTGCTAGGACAACTAAATGCCACCATACTTACCTTGGTACCCAAGAAACCAGGGGCTGTGGCGTTGAAGGACTTTCGTCCTATTAGTTGCTGCAACACCTTGTACAAGCTCATATCCACCTTACTAGCCAAGAAACTGAACTTCATTCTGCCAGATATAATTTCGCCTAATCAAGGTGCTTTTCTCAAAGGAAGGTTGATGCTAGAGAACATTCTATTGGCCACTGAACTTGTGCGAGAATACAATAAACCGAGGGCAACAAAACGGGCAATGCTGAAGCTTGACTTGAGGAAAGCGTTCGACTCGGTAAACTGGGAGTTTATCACAAGGATACTAAGAGCCTTGCGCCTACCGGACAAATTTGTGGGCTGGATTGCAACATGCATGGGAACTCCTAAATTTTCAGTGGCTATAAACGGGGAACTTGCCGGATATTTTAAGGGACGGAGAGGGCTCCGACAAGGCGACCCAATCTCTCCCTATCTATTTATTCTGACCATGGAAATATTAACTCGCTTGCTAGACCGAGGGGCAAATGAACGGAGGATTCAGGTACATCCGAAATGTCACACCCCGACTATTACTCATTTGACATTTGCAGATGATGTAATGGTGTTCACAAGGGGAGACAGTCACTCCCTGTTGACAGTGAAAGAGCTATTGGATCTGTTCAGCAAGTACTCAGGGTTGCATTTGAACATGGCGAAGACAGAGATTTACCTTGGAGGACTAACTGCACAAGAAGCTTCTGAGATCAGCAGTGCGACGGGATTCCGAGTAGGATCTCTACCTGTAAGATATTTGGGTGTCCCTCTAAGCCATGCTCGGCTAACCAAGACAGACTACCAACCCCTTCTGGAGAAAATCAAGACAAAGCTAACTTCTTGGACTATCAAGCATCTTTCTTATGCAGGTAGACTCCAACTAGTTAGCTCTGTTATATATGGGTTAATCAACGCTTGGGGGATGATTTTTCTTCTGCCGAAATTCATCACAAAGCAGGTTGACAGCCTCTGCTCAAGCTTCCTATGGTCCGGAAACTCATCGAGATCCGGTGGGCGACGGGTTTCATGGGAAAATATATGTAAACCCAAACGAGAATGAGGGTTGGGACTCCGTTGTGTAGCAGATTACAACGCTACGTTTAGGCTGAAATTAATTTGGATTCTATTCTCCAAGGCGGGCTCTTTATGGGTTGCTTGGACACACAACAATGTGTTCAAAGAAAAGGGCTTTTGGAACACATTACCATCTCCTAGATTCTCTTGGAATCTGCGGAAATTGTTGGGACTTAAGGAATTAACCCAACAAAACCCAACAATTCCTCAGAATCAAGCTTGGCGATGGGACACGAACATTATTCTGGCATGAACCATGGACATCTCTTGGCCCCCTGATCAAATACATTGGTGAATCGGGGCCGAGAAGCTTCCGTGTTCCGAGCCTTGCGACAGTCCGTAGTGCAGTGAATGGCAGCAACTGGGCTCTTCCGCATGCACGATCTGATAGGCAGCAAGATTTTCTCACCTTGCTCTCTACTATCCCACCACCGATGGACACCGACGTTTCCGATCAGCCGCTATGGAAATTTGCACCTGATGATTACAGAACGTTCTTCCTTACGAGCCGAACATGGGACCAAGTCCGTCATCATGATGAGTTGGTCCCTTGGCACTCTATTGTTTGGTTCTCTAAAAGCGTTCCTAGATATGCTTTCCTAACCTGGCAGGTGTTTCACTTTGTCACTAGATGCACCTCTGATAGGCAGCAAGATTTTCTCACCTTGCTCTCTACTATCCCACCACCGATGGACACCGACGTTCCCGATCAGCCGCTACGGAAATTTGCACCTGATGATTACAGAACGTTCTTCCTTACGAGCCGAACATGGGACCAAGTCCGTCATCATGATGAGTTGGTCCCTTGGCACTCTATTGTTTGGTTCTCTAAAAGCGTTCCTAGATATGCTTTCCTAACCTGGCAGGTCATGTTATCAAGACTCCCTACCAAGGATAGATTGCACCGTTGGGGAGTAACACCGGAGGCACTATGCGTACTATGCGAGGCGACAGAGGAAACGCATCAGCACTTATTCTTTGAATGCAGGTTTAGTGCTCAAGTGTGGAACTATTATGCTGTACTTTGCAGGCAAAACCCTCCTCAAGCATCTACCAATATGTGTATTGGGTGGAAAACGCAACACACAGCGAAGTGAGAGACATGCCAAGGATCATCAAGTTCCTCCTCCAAGTCACGTTATATGAGTTATGGAAAGAAAGAAATCATCGGATTTTCCGGAGAAAGAAGAGAACACTGGAGCATACTCGATGGAAGATCGACCGAACCATCAGAACAATTTTAATATCTATCAAAGGGAATTCACCCAATGATAGGGAGTCGATACTTGCAGATTGGTATTACTTGACGCGAGAAACAAGAAGATAAGCTAGTGTTGCTGTAATTTTTGAGATTTATTACCATTTCCTTATGGGTTCCAAAATCTTTTGCATACTCGCAAAAGCGAGGTTGTAATTTCTTTTGGTATATAATACGAATCACCTTTTAACCAAAAAAAAAAATGAAGTAGCCGAAGACCACATAGAATAGAACAGAAGTTCAACGAGGAAATAATAAAATTATATTATTTTATAGTATCTATTTTGTCAACCTTCATCTATAGCCTCTGTATATGTATACATTTACATATATACTTACGAATATGTCGTATATGTTCGAAATAATTGATAACGATACTCAGCGTTAACTTTACATGTCTTAATTAATTCACCATTGCCACTCTTGTCGGTTGGGACTGAATTCGTTATTTTATTTGATTCATAACGTTGTTCATTTTACAAAAAATCATGGATACCAATGAATAAGATAGATAACAATCTCTCCTACCATAATAAAATATTATTGAAAACTTGTTATTTATGAAGGTTTAAGATTTTAATATGAAAATGAAATATACTAGTAGACAATATTAGGTACAAAATATAAACAAAGAACTAAATTAATTGAAAATAACAATATATATAAATCCTATTATCAACATTATATAAGCTCTCTATAATTATCAATAATCTCCAATTATATAAACTGTAAAATCATAAACACGAGATACATAATAGTCTTTTAAGAATTTTCAATTTTCCGATGTGTACAAGTAAACATAAGTTACATCGGGATTGTATCTAACTTTGCTGTCCAATCATGCCCAGTAGTGTAGTGTACTGTAGATGTGTGTGTGTGTCCGCATATGATAATCGCTTTCGGACTTAGATTCTAAGCAGAGGACAGTATTCGTTCTGACAATATCATCAGAGAGAGAGAGAGAGAGAGAGAGAGTCTGATGACGAAGGAGACGATGAATACGACATGAATCAACCCCCAACGTTTTCGAGCTATCATCATGTATTAATATATTTCGGTGAAATTCTCAACGTGCCCTCTTCTTGATTTTCTTCTATATATATATATATATATATCGATGAATCATGCACTTCGTTATGCTCAATTCGTATTCTTCAGGCAAAAACTCAAATATTCCCTAATTTTTACTCCCTTGGTTTGAATCGGGTTATTCTTGAATTGCAGGCTTTGTGGAGAGTAAAAAATTAATGGGTTTCGTAATTATTAATCAGAATCCTCAATTTCTCAATAACTACACAAAGCCACATACATACATATGTACATATACATATACACGCACACGTTCTTGAAGATTTCATGGCTGCTTTCTTCCATGAACCCTCTCAAGCTCGAGAAGATTCATCTTCTTCTTCGGAGTTCGCGTTACAACATCACCAACACAGCCTTCGTCTCATGAACGCACTCGACCACGCGCCGCCGTCTCTCTCCGTCGACGTGTCCACTTGTACTCCTCACCACTTCTACTACAACGGCAACTCATGTTTTGGCTCGCCCGTCGATCCGGACCCGGACCCGATCCGTGACGTCATCAAACCTGATCCAGGTGGGTCCCAGGGGTTCGAGCTTCTTCCCCGGCTGCCTCTCCCGGCGGTTTCTCCCGGGAACGGTAAGAAGCTGTCGCTTGGTCTGTCCTCCCGGCAAACGCAAACGCGAACGCGAACTACAATAGGTCACGTTGAACAAGGGAATTCTGCGGTCTCCACGGTTACGAACGGTGTCGTTTTCAGCGCGACCGGGAACGGTTTTGACCCTATGTATTTGAAGGCTGCGCATGAATTGCTCAATGAGATCGTCAGCGTCGGAAACGCAAAAAACAGCGACTGCGACGGCTCTAAAGGAAAGCTCACGGTGAAGACAGAGTTTTCCGGCGACGGATTTGCTGGCAGTGGTTACAGAGGTGGCATACCTATCGGCGGTGAACTCACGGCCACAAACAGGCAAGAGCTGCAGATGAAGAAGGCGAAGCTCGTCTCCATGGTTGAAGAGGTATATATATATATAGGCATATACATGTACAGACATATATATACATATATATCTATGTTCGTAAGCCTTTATACTTACATATTTGACTTTGATTAAACGCAGGTTGAGCAAAGATACATGCACTACCGCGACCAAATGCAAGCAATAGTGTCATCATTCGAACAAGCCGGGGGCTTTACTGCTGCGAAATCGTACACATCCTTAGCGTTACCGACAATATCAAAGCAGTTTAGGGTTCTGAAAGACGCTGTAAGGACACAGATCAAGATCATAAGCAAGTGTTTGGGGGAAGAGTATACTAAGAAAACTGTACGAGAAGGTTGTGGATTTGTGGACCAAACACAACAACTTCGCCATTTGGGGATTATGCAAAAACATCACCATGCCAATGCTTGGAGGCCGCAACGAGGGTTGCCCGAAAGAGCCGTTTCGATTCTACGTGCTTGGCTCTACGAACACTTTCTTCACCCGTAAGCCATGTTTTATAGTTTCCCCCAAATTCGGTTTGGTAAAAATATCGATCGTCGATCCATCGCCTGGGATTAATTTCGTTTGTACTAAAAGATGAAACTAAACTTGATTTTGAACCAAATTGGAAATGCAAGTGAATATGTTGATCGATTGATAGGGGTCTTGATTCAGTTCGTAACTTTGTGTTTTGTGTTTGTAGATATCCAAAGGATATGGATAAACAAATGCTTGCCAAACAAACAGGGCTTACTAGAAGTCAGGTACATTTCTTTTTATTTGTTTTCTTCTTTAGAAAAATATTTCGTTATGTATTCATATAAAATACCTATTATTTATTTGGTAAAGTAGACAGTCCTATATTTTAGTAGAATTCAATTTGCTGCCCTTCCATATATGCTCTCTTATATATTTTTTTTTCCGTGAAGAGATTGTGGAAATTTATGTTTCGATCTTACTAATTTTTCGTATTGGCCATAAAAAAAATTTTCAGTCCCTTTTTCATATTGTTTATGTGTATTAAAGATCGATTTGATTTTGGTGGGTGTTATAAATGTCAAAGTAGTACGTTTGAATAATTTCGAAATACACAACAGAAAATTTTCCTCCAATCCGATTTGAATCTTCCCAAATTCTATACGGTGTTTTATGTAATTAATGCATTCACCTATATATATATATTATGGTTGATTAGTTAGTTAAAAAAGACATTAATATGCGATGTAATAAGGTTACATTAAAAGCCTCTAGGCCCTTTTGATTAGACAGAAAATCTAACAACGACGAGCGATGGAAAGTAAATATCACTTTCAACGTTTCATATGCCGTTAAAGTCTAAAGATGATTTGAATTTTTGGTCCGTAAAACGGTCATTTACAGTAATCTAAATTCATATATATGCTACTGAATATTATGTTTATATGTAGGTATCGAATTGGTTCATAAATGCCCGAGTTCGACTGTGGAAGCCAATGGTAGAGGAAATGTATTCGGAAGAAATGAAAGTTCAAGCAAACGCAAAAAACGACACAACCAATGAAGAGGACAATGATGATCTCGAACTCGGGGTTTCATCATCGAAACAACCTCGGAATCATGATTCTTCGGACCAATCGATACCCGGGAATTCGAATCTCAAGAACAACAAGAACGTTGCTGGTCAATGCTCGAGCCTGAACGTGTCTTCAAGCACTCTGGCTGCAGCTTCTCATCATCAAGGGGGAATATTGAGCAGGCCAAAGAAGCTAAGGACAATGGAAAACGATTTTGACGTCATGCAGAACTCTTCGATAGTGTCCTACGAGACCGAGAGGAAGCAACAGATGGATCATCCTGCTAGAGAATCTGGTAACCTGATCCATTTCAATGGAGGGTTCGGGAATTATCGACAGGCGATGTATGGAAAAGCAGTTTCTCTTTCGCTTGGACCGCCTCATTCGCGTGACCAAACATTCAACGATGTTTTCGAGACGAGCCATCAGATCGAATTCTCGGGTGTTTCTCCGTTGTCAACGTATCAAAACATCGATATTCCTGGCAAGAGGAGGTTTGTCACTAACGCCGCCCCGTTATTGCCTGATTTCTTCGCATGATCGGACCGATATCGAGATGACATATTTGTGTTTTTTTGGTGGTTTGGGTTTGAGGTGTTTTGTTCTCTAGCTTGCTCTTGGTGTCTTGTCGTGGTTTTATGGATACAAAAGGAGAAGCATATACAAAGGGAGTATAGGAGAGATCTTATATATTTACACATAGGGATATTAATTGAACATTAAAATTAGGGTTGTAAAGTGTGTGTGTATATATATATATATATATGCGCTCAAATAGTTTTTATATTTATATCAATATATATATATACACAACTGTATGAATATGTCTGACCTCCTTGCATACCCAAATTTCAATGACTTTTGTAAACGATCATGCGTTGAAAGATATACATATTATGTATGTTATAAGACGATATTAGATATGCATACAGATTAAGTAAATATTATCATATTAGATTCGAAAAATATTATAACTTTTTTTTCTGACCGGATATTATGAACCGATACGTAAACTAATTTTGGGACCAGGAACCAACCTGACGATTTGGAATATATCTTCCCTCCTCAAACTTGAATTTTGTATTCGGGGCGAGACAAACGTTTTGACCCCGTTTCAATGGTTGAAGTATCCAAATTTGGGTAAAAAAAATATTAGAATTTATGTTAGGAAGGGCTGAATCAACATTTCTAAACACTTCTTCCACATCTATATCTACATATATCGTCTGAACAATGCAAAATTTCGTGGATTGCCATTGCGAATCGCAGTAGTAATATTTTACAAACTTAAGAGAAATGCTAATTTCATAGTTGAAAAGATGATTATTGAATTTAAGCAATTACGATAATTAAATAAATTAAGGAATGACACGTGGCAATCTCCTACTGGATGTTTGGGACCGCTACTTCCACTAGCGTCACTTCAATGCCATTAACGCACGCAGGCAAAAAGTGAAGTCAAATATAAAATGATCAAACCTGACGTCAGTATGACGAAATAAATGGCGAAACAGAGACAAAAAAAAGTGATGTCAAATCTACAAAACATGAAGGGACAATGCCTCCTAACTACCGTAAAAGGAAAAGGAAAGGTCATAATAATTTTAATTTTAAAGAAAAGGAAACATTATCATAATAATTTTTTGAAAAAAAAAAGGTAAGATCCAAACCCATGTGGACCGGACATGATCCAACACCACAGACATTGCATCCGTACGTCTTAGATTCACATTTCATAGATCGGGTCATGTGATTATAGAATGTATTTCTAATATATAGTATTTTCATAGTTGTGAAATGAGATTTTACATGTATATATATATATATACAGTGGCCGAGTGGTACTTTTATTGTTGTTAGTTTCGCATGATGTATGATGTCAGATAAAGATAACATGGTATAAATATATATATATATATATATATGGAATTTAAATTTCAAATAAAAAAATACACATGGACATTAGCAAAAACCTAAGATCATGTATAAGAGAGGTTGAAAACGAGAATGATTTAAATTGATTATATAATATCAAATGATGTAATCGTGTACATAAATAAATTGTTTTCTTACATTGAATGATTTGGTCATGTTAGGTCGTCCCCTTCCCACCTTCATACTACGAAATTAATTTGAAGTTTCATTTACCGATCCAATTATCTAAAAATAAAACTATGCATGCATTTTTTGTTATTATAGATTTATGAATTTAAAACCTAAAATATCATAAAAAGTCATTTTTCTTAAAGGAAAATGGTGCCAAGACTGGAAAAACAAGAAAAGAACAAATGAGAAAAATGTAAGCTTTTAATTTGTCCGAAATTTAGTGATGGTCACCTTTCGCTTAAAGATCCGACAATTGTCGAATGGGCCTTTTTGGGCATATCAATTCTCCATCAATAACCATTATGATTGATCCTTTTTTTCAAAATTATTTAAATTCTCCATGAAAATATTAACAACCATGTTCGGTTTTCTAGAAGATGTAGTTGAGCTAAAACGGGATAAACTTTTGAATTATTATTTTTTTTTAAAACTCGAAAGTCATAAGCAAAAATATGACAGAAGACATTATGGAATGATTGAAAATATTATGCATTCTATGATTGTATTGCCTTTTATATACGTATTCCCTTAATGTACTAAGGTGTATATATATTGTATGAATGAGAGGACAAACCCTAATGGAAAATATACCAAATTACAAAATATACATAAATATCGACACACGTCATGTCATGTGTATGTATGCATCATACATGGTTTATATCTTTCACATAAAGGGATGCCAATTTTCATGTACAAGCATAAGACGCTCTAATTTTGAATCATGATTCGGGTATTCATGTACCCGAATCGTCTCAAATATATTTCTAAATTTCAGATAACCGAGTTGTTCGAATCAGATTCAATATCCATTGATTCGATTGGCATTTGTATTTGTTATCCAAAGTTCGGACATCCAGATGTATATGAATGTAGAATAATTTTTCTAATTTTATCCCATATATATACCCAATTATCACTGAATTTATTTACGAAAATGATTTATTTATAAGATTACCATTATAATTAAATCAAATAAAATTTCCACTCAATCTAATTTTTTTCAAATTAATATCCAATTTAAAGTTTTTTTTAATTCACCGACTTTGTCCTCTTATTGTTACTAAGATTGATATAGATGATGACACGATCATGACTTCAAATTTCAAAAGTATTGGATGTAATAATCAGATTTCTAACTTCTATATATTATTTTCAAATTTATTTGGATGAAGAAGAAAATAGAATATTATCGAGATGATGTGAGATCTCAAAACATTTCGAATAGAAATATCTATATAAATGTACATGATATGTATAGTTTCAAAAAGTATTTAAAAAGCATCTTTGGGAATATTCCAATAATCTTTTTCTAGGTTGGACACGTGTTTATATATATATCATCCGTCTCACAAATTACTTATGTAAAATTTTGACTACAACTTTTTTAAATCAAATATATTAGCTATAAAATGAAAATTTATTTAGATTTGTAGATAGCTGGAGAAGTTTTTCTTTAAATATTTTATCTGATTTTAGTTTTCTTACAACAAACATTTTTGAATGATTGAATATGATATTAATAAAATCTAGTAATGTATGGTCGAATTTTATTCATTAAATTTTTACTTATTTTTTTTGTTTGTGATAGTATTTCTTTATAGAGGACCTCAATTATATTTTTATGTAATGAAATATATTGTGGAAAGTGAAATAACTATACAAACTGAATAAGCTAGGATCGTATATTGTATATCCTGCATATTAGGAAGTTGGTTGTATTGGGAGATTATATTTCCTAGTTTGTTTAGCTAGGTTTAACCTTCCCTCTCCTCTCCCCCCACCACCTCTATCCCTTCCACTGCATTAGCTATAAAATGAAAATTTATTTAGATTTGTAGATAGCTGGAGAAGTTTTTCTTTAAATATTTTATCTGATTTTAGTTTTCTTACAACAAACATTTTTGAATGATTGAATATGATATTAATAAAATCTAGTAATGTATGGTCGAATTTTATTCATTAAATTTTTACTTATTTTTTTTGTTTGTGATAGTATTTCTTTATAGAGGACCTCAATTATATTTTTATGTAATGAAATATATTGTGGAAAGTGAAATAACTATACAAACTGAATAAGCTAGGATCGTATATTGTATATCCTGCATATTAGGAAGTTGGTTGTATTGGGAGATTATATTTCCTAGTTTGTTTAGCTAGGTTTAACTTTCTGATGTTGTATATAAACGAATGTAGATGTCTAATAAAGATGAGTCGTATTCTTCAAACCCTGTAGCTCGGTACGTGATATGGTATCAGAGCACGAGCCACCACCATCGCTTTGAAATTCCGACCAAATATCCACCGACACCGACAACACGACCACCGAACCACATACGACCCCTCCGTCGACCACCGATCCGATCAACCCTTCGAACTCGACCTCCACGATGAACACTGCCCCGATCCGTCGTACGATCTCACCGTACGATCTCCGTGTTGTGCGCTATCTCAAGCGACGACCTGGACAAGGTATATTGCTTCGAGCAGATTCTGATCTCCGACTCTACGGCTGGTGTGACTCCGACTAGGCTGGTTGTCCGACGTCTCGCAAGTCTCTATCCGGCTGGCTTATTCATCTTGGCCAATCTCCTATCTCCTGGAAGTCTAAGAAGCAACACACGATATCTCTTTCATCCGCGAAAGCCGAATATCGCGCAATGGCTGTGGCGACTTGCACTACAAAAAAAATGGTCATTTCCAACGGGTAAATCCGTTGGAAATGGCCAAATTTCCGTTGAAAATTAACGTTTCCAACGGATTTCCAACGGATTTATCCGTTGGAATTTCGTCGTTAGAAATCGGTGTCCGTTGGAAAACCGTTGGAATTTCCAACGGAATTGCAACGAATTTTTCCGTTGGAAATTTCCAACGGATTTCCAACCGGCATCCGTTGGAATTTTCCAACGGATTTCCAACCGCAATTTCGGTTGGAAAATTCCAACGGACTTTCCAACCGCAATCTGTTGGAATTTTCCAACGGAATTTCCAACCGATATCCGTTGGAATTTTCCAACGGAATTTTCAACCGCATTCCGTTGGAATTTTCCAACGAAAAATTCGAAACATATTCCCGACCCTGACCCTGACCCCGACACCGACATCGACACCAACCCGATCCAACCAAACCACGATCCCGAAACTCACTTCCCAGTAGGTCATCCATACTTCCACTGCTCCAGCTCAATCCTCTTTAACCCTAGAGTTCTAATTAGAACTCTTTCAACTCCTCCAAGTTAAACTTCTCATATCATATAACATTAATATATATACATATTCAAATTCATATATATATATATATATATATATATTTGTTATATATATGTATATGGTTAATATATATATATACACTTATTCGTATACATATATGTGTATATA